GCGAAATTTTCACATGCTTGTAGGTGTCTGTCAATGGAATCGGCCAGTTTGTCCCTGACAATGCCACTACATTTAGAGATGTGTTTCAGAGATTTCGCCAGTAAATAANAAATAAAAGTCTTTCTTCAACACCCGGAAAAATTACTGGAGAGCAATACAACCAGTGGGGTAGCACGCAGGCATTCACAAATCTAACAATCAGCTTGTGGGGAACAGAAAGTAATCTCAATCGGAGTGAGAAATATGAAAGCTTTCTAACTTTACAGAATGTGTTTTGAACGTGCTGTGACCATGATAAATTGTGTGATAGGGTGACGCCAAGGTATTTTACTATTGTTGATTTCGGTAGGGGTTTTTGATTTGCAGAAAGGGTGGGGAACCTACCTATAAGGGCTGAATATGATACATCGGCCAAGAGGGAAAACACAACATCCTGACATTTAGGGGCATTCAATGAGAGGGAACGAGGCAGGGCCAAGTGATCACGTCCTTCAGCTTGTTTTGAATTTCGGAAGCCTCTTCTGGAGTGAATGCTTTGCAACCTATAACGTCATCAGCGTATTTACAGCCAACGAATGCAGGAGGAATGGGAAATTGTTTGACATAGATAGAAAAGAAATATGGGGAAAATATTGCACCTTGCAGGACATCAGAAGAAACGGGGCGAGTGAAGGACTTTTCTCCGTTGAAACATGTAAACTGCTTTCTGTCTGTGAAATAATCAGATCAATCTGCTAACGTTTGTACTTACACCACTTTCCGTAATCAGGTTGAGCAATACTGATCGATCAAGACTGCCAAAAGCGTTTTTGTAGTCTAGGAACATCATTCTGATGGTCTTGTTTTCTTATTCTAGTACCGAGAGTATTGAATGAACGAGATATGCAACGGCGTCCAGTGTTGACCGCGAGGAGCGGAATGCAAATTGATATATGTCTTCTTCTAGTGTCCGAAGAAATGCACTCACGTTCCCTTGTAGTTTCCGCCTAATCGCATTGTCCACTTTTAAATCATTTTTAATTTCAGTCGTCTCAGTGAACGTCGTAAAACTGGTGGGTGTGATGCCAACGGGCCCATTGAGCTCGGGGCAGTGTTGGATACTGTTTGTAAACGGTGTGGTGTCCGAGGTGAGTCCATGCGGTCAGTTGCAAATTCACGTTGACGAGAGACGCCCTTTGGCCCTGAAAATTTTTTTAAGGTTCAGCTATGTCCTCTGAAAGGAGGCATCACGTGCAACTGAATACCCTCCCTGTTATTAGCTCCGAATATATTGGCGTTATTCGGTTTAAAGGTGTGATTCGCTTGTGACCGCGCAAGTCGAGTGCTTGTTGAACTACAGTCATTCCCGTTTAGGTGATGCACACATCATTTGGCTCTTGGAAACAGGACACCGGAATCTATTGGAAGTGAAGGTGTAAAATTTCCTATTATATATCAATACGAGATAAACATAAAAGATAATCTGAAAACACTGTTTCCCCATCACGAATTTGAATAGAGAATTCAGCAACATGGGTTTGCACAATGTATCCGTGGTCATCTCACTGCATCTGTACATCCTGTATTCAGCACAACCTATTATCCAGTTATGTAAACCGGTGACCCAAACTTGTAATGCCGAACTTCATATGACTCCAGTGAAAACGGTTTTGAAACGCGGGACAGCGTCGAAAATCTCTATTTCTCAGAAGGATGATGTGCCGTACCTTAGCACCTTATGATAGGTAGAACTTCGCCTCCCTCAATTTATCGAATACTTTCTGGATTACTGAGCTCTATTCTGTGACAACTCTCACAAAATAACTCCTTTTTCCTTCCTACCACCATTCAGGTCATCTGGCATCCAGCTGCTATGCTGATTTGGATTCAGCGGTTCTAGGCCTTGTCTATAGTAGCAGTGAAGATAGTGATATCGCATCGGAACCCAAGCAGGCGAAGCGACCAAAGCGGGAAAAGCAAAATCACTCAAAGACTCGGGTGAAAAAGGATACAGACGGAGCAAAAGACAAAAAGCGACACAAGGAGAAGAAACACAAGAAACATAAACATAAAAGTTCAAAAGAACATACATCATGTCGGAAAAAGGTATGCTTCATTGACTTGATACCCTACCGATTTTCGTCTTCACATCCGGCTATCAGAGGTTTTCTGTCGATTTCATTCTGCAACTTGTGGTTAAAAACCAAGTGTGCCCTTTGAATTCATTATTTTCATCGTTTTTTACTTTTATAAAACTGAAATTTCACATTTTTCGCGCCTTCAAATTGCCACCGGAACCAGAATGAAATTACTTGTCACAATGGAATTATTATCTTCAGGTTCATATTTATCTCTGCTCACAACTTTCGAACACTCCTGTTTTTATCCCCATGGGTGACCTAAATGCAGCAACCGAAAACGCCGCACGAAGGGACGCGGTAAATGGCTGCAGAAATGGAACAAACTGATTTTTATCACTTCATTCTGAATGTCATGCTGTAGCTCTTTAGATTTAACCGATTCAGTAGATTGCTTGTTTGCAACCTAAGTGGCACTCAGTTGCAAGAAGCTGCTTGAATCAAACACAGGAAGACACTTTCCATCATAAAAAATACTTGGTAAACTTGATGTCGCAGAAACTTTACGAAATTTTGGCCAGGGTGACAAAGGAAAAGGTACGAGTGATTTCTCTAACTTTCTGCCTCCGCAGATTATTTTGTACTAGATTACATTCAAATGATACAACATTTAGGGCTTAAGAAGAAGTTCATATATTGTTTTGCGAAAGCTTATCATAGTATATGATGTGTTGGGAGATGGTCTCACAACGCCTCAGTATTGTTGGTGATGGGTGCTATTAGTAGTGACATTCTATCCTTCCTTTGCATCGCGAAACGCTCCAGATGTCTACCATAGGCTCTACTGAGGTAGCCCACCTCTGTCATCACGCGGCGGATGCGTTTCCTCAAAAACGAGATGACGAAAAGCCAACATCAGTGGTTCTAAACACGTCGATGAACCACCGNAACCACCGGCAATTAATCTATTGTGGTTGGCTAAAAACCCTGATCCGAAACCAGCCAAGAAGAGACTTGAGAACCCTAATTACACCTTTCAGGCTGTGGTAGTGATCGGCTCGATTGGGCAGCTTAGATGTTCAATCTCATCGAAAGGACGTATGATGCGATAAATTGGCCACCGTTCCCCAGTTTTCTGCACAAACCTGCCATTTTGCTAGGCTTTGGTTGTGAACTAACCAAGATGATTATTCTTCCTTGGCCTAATGAACTGGTATCATTCTTCTGGGGAACGAATCATTGACCGCTTTTCTCGTTATCAAGACTATCGTATCCAATGTTCGGCACAAAATGTGAGCCTTTGAAAAATTATAACCCTAATTATAGGCAGTGCAGTGCTTCAAATGAGCCACGGGTCCATCTTGCCCAATGAACAAATGCTTGAGGATTCTGGATATCACTGTTATCGTTGCGCAGGCATAGAACCAGTGCCTTCGGAACAGTTTACTCAATCATTCGGGCATGGACCGGGGATATAATGAAACAACTTTTCGGTTGTTCGGTAAAAACTTCATTGACGTGCTCAAAATGTGTATCTACTTTTAATACTGATGGCTCCTTGGAGAGAATAGGCCGGCTCCACGAATGTCTCTGATTGCCCCCGGCCATGCTTGGCGGTTGTCTACAAGATCCTTGAAAATTTCAACCCAGTTGGTTTCCATCGGCGAGTGCCGTACACCATCCGAAGGCCAAGTCTGCCGACGTCGTCAAATGCAGTGTCCAGCTAGGTTTTTACTTCCCCTCCCCCCTTGTGGGCTGCGTCAGCCAGGACAAGGAGACGGTGTCAAGACAACGCTTGTAAATATATCGTCTGGTCTGCGGAGAACATAACCCAGCCACCTCATTCGGCGGCGTTGAATGTCCGTCGAAAGACGGGCTATGTGGCGGCGATTCAGGCGGACCGGGTTCGGACTCTGTCCCGCCAGTTTGCTTTCAGGACGAATCTAAGACACCGGTGATCGAAGACCTCCAGTCGTGCGATGTCCTCAACACTCAGCGGCCAGGTTTCGCAGCCGTTTAGTAGGACTGGTCGGCTGCTTTGATAAACACCCTCAGCTTGGTTTTGAGAGTGATCTTGTTCCTGCGCCTAAAGGTCTTTCAGAGCTGCAGAAACGCTGTTTGGGTGATGTTTGAGAGGGCAGCAAATCGGAATAACCGTTGGGAATACGACGGTCAAGGATCGAGTGTAACACCACAAACGATTAGGGGTAATCCCGTGCCTGGGCTGCAACCAACACTACATAGGTGAGACAGGCAAACAACTACACACTCGCCTACACGAACACGAGCTTGCCCTCCGACGCGCTGACCCGAGGTCACAAATCTAGAACCACTGCGCACGGACAGGTCACGAGATCGCAATCGATAACGCAAAGGTTGTGGCGCGAGCAAAGAAGAAGGGGGGACGATTAATCCTCGAAGCTCTGCACTCGGTCAGTTCGTTCAACCGACACATCGAGATAGNGATAGACAAACATTACGTCACACTCGCAAAACCCGTGATGATTGGTGGACTGATAGACGTACAAACAGCACACAGGCGCACGGAAAGACGGTAATCCCATTATTTCATTCACTTCATTTGCGTTTGACGAGTCCTAGTTTGGATCAAAACGTTACAATACATATTTCACAAATTATTGTATATATATATATATATATATCAATTCACGCCAGTCGTAAACTTTATCTTCTCCTTTCCAGCATTAACGCTGAACTTGGAAACCGGCTGTAAATGATGATGGCGTTTCGCAATTCAAACAGTCATTAAATGATTGAGCCCTAATCGACTACGCAATCGACACCTGACGCACCCATCCCTTTTTGTACGTGGATGGGAATCTCATTTTGCCATGTTTTGCGTATTCGCTTA